GGGGATACTGTGTGTGTGTGTGTGTATATATATATATATATATATACATTGTATACAGTCCGGGGGAGGGGTGGACTCACTTCTGGGGGATACTGTGTGTATATATATATATATATATACATTGTATACAGTCCGGGGGAGGGGTGGACTCACTTCTGGGGGATACTGTGTGTGTATATATATATATATACATTGTATACAGTCCAGGGGAGGGGGGGACTCACTTCTGGGGGATACTGTATATATATATACATTGTATACAGTCCAGGGGAGGGGGGGGACTCACTTCTGGGGGATACTGTATATATATATACATTGTATACAGTCCAGGGGAGGGGTGGACTCACTTCTGGGGGATACTGTGTGTGTGTGTGTGTGTATATATATATATATACATTGTATACAGTCCGGGGGAGGGGGGGACTCACTTCTGGGGGATACTGTTGTGTATATATATATATATACATTGTATACAGTCCAGGGGAGGGGGGGACTCACTTCTGGGGGATACTGTGTGTGTATATATATATATACATTGTATACAGTCCAGGGGAGGGGGGGACTCACTTCTGGGGGATACTGTGTGTGTATATATATATATATACATTGTATACAGTCCAGGGGAGGGGGGGACTCACTTCTGGGGGATACTGTGTGTGTGTGTATATATATATACATTGTATACAGTCCGGGGGAGGGGGGGACTCACTTCTGGGGGATACTGTATATATATATACATTGTATACAGTCCGGGGGAGGGGGGGACTCACTTCTGGGGGATACTGTGTGTATATATATATACACAGACACACAGTATATTCTGTTGGGACTCGAGGAGTGCCGATGGTCCACAAGTAGGTGGCTCGATACTCGCCCCACCCCAGGAGCTGGCAACCCCTGCTAAGCCACAGGCTACCCTCTACACTCTTCGGTCCATTCTGCACACGTTTGTCATTTTCCATGATTCTGCCATGTTGGCCATGTCTGTGAATTTATCATTGCAGTTACTTTCAGGCCTCTACAGTCCTCTGGCTTCTTGGTTTGTTCTTAAATCCATATCTCTATCTGTCTCTCCTGCAACCCTTTATAGAATGCTTGTAATATCTCTGAGATGTTCGGTTGATATTTTGGTTCACATTTTGCTGGCTCTGTCATCACTAAGATATACAGTCATGTGAAAAAGTAAGTACACCCCAGGGACATTTTTGACTTCTTCACCGTATTTGAACAGGGAAACAGAACTATCTTCAAGCAGTGCCTACAGATAAAGGTGATGTATTGGAATAAAAACCCAAATATCATTTATCCAACAAAAATATGAATAGATGTGGAAGAAGTAAGTACACCCTTGGTATCCAGAGCTGGTATAGCCCCATGTAGGCATTTTTGTATAATTGCCCCCCTAGTCTCTTGACCATTTCTCCATGGAACATTCCTTCCGTTGTAGGATGTTGATTGGTCTCATTGCATGAACTGAATTTCAATTTGAAACAAATCAAGGATTTAACAAGGGCAGTCAATTTCAAAGAGTTTCAAATGAAGGAATTAATGAGGGAAAGCCCGTAATACCCTATTGCTTCTTCTTGAGCCATTCTTTGGTGGATTTGCTAGTGTGTTTCGAGTCGCGTTGAAAGATTAATTTCTGGCTCAACTCTTTGATGGATGGCCTTACATTCTCATTAAGCACACTAAAATAGGATGCAGAATGTATAGGTGACTCAGGAGCTGCCCAGGCTCTAACGTAGCAAAGCAACTCCAAACCATAACATTTCCACCACCATGCTTCACAGTTATGAGGTTCCAAGGTCCTGACTTGCTGTTTTCGGGTTTTTGGCAAATGTGTACTGAGATTTGTCTAGTCAATCTTTGAATGTTCAATCTTCAGCCTATTGCTCGAGAAGGGCCTGGTGTTTGCCTCTTTGTTCAAGGACAAACTTCAGTCTTGCTCTAATGCTTTCTGGACAGTAAACGCTTTTTCTTGGCACAACTCTCATGCAGGTTGAATTAGTGCAGTCTAGTTCTGCATTTAGATGCATGCACCTCAACTGTTGCAAGCGATACCTGAACATGCCGCAATTACATTTTGGGGTTTTTAGAGACTCCTTTTTGAGTTCCACTCAAAAAGGAGTCATGCAGGCAGATGGCCCAGCCCTTGATCGGCCCACCCCAGCCAAAGCTTGGTGAGCTGAAGATTCCAAAAAAGAAGGAAAGAGGAGGAAAGGGGAGAAGAATGGCAGAAAGGGTAAGAGGAAGGTGGTTCCAGGAGTCATCACGGGAGGGGCCTGGAGACAGTTTAGGTGTCAATGAGGTTACGGTTCCAAAACAGTGTTGTCGATGTCAGGAGGGAAGTATTTATCGATCCAGGATTGCCAGACTTTGGTGTAACGTTGGGCCTTGTCCTGAAACGTGGCCTCGATTTTACTATATATCATTGCCTGACTCTATTTGTGGTGGCGATTGTCTTAGAGACTTCTTTTAGTAACAGTCAGTTCTTGGGTTGAATTTGCTGGGCCAGCCAGTTCTAGACAAATTAGCAGTTGTCTGAAATCTGCAACACTTGTGGATTATTTTAATTTCAGATCATTGACCAATCTGAGGGCCTTAAAGAACTCTATTGATCTTGGTATGATAACATGACACGCATCAGTAGAAAAAAGAACACTAGACCCTAGATGTCTGAGGTTCCACCTGCATACTCCCTAAGCAAGTTCTAATCATGGACAACTGATATGGAACCCTGGATCCCATGGTTTTGTGGTGGTACTCTTTGAAGTACAGTTGCAAGAAAAAGTATGTGAACCCCTTGGGATTACGTGGAGTTTTGCATGAATTGGGCATAAAATGTGCTCTGAACGTCATCTAAGTCACAACAATAGAAGAACACAGTCTGCTGAACATAATACTACACAAACATTAGATGTTGCCATGGTTTAATTGCACATAACATGTAAACATTCACAGTGCAGGAGGAAAAAGTATGTGAACCTTTGGACTTAATAACCGATTGACCCTCCTTTGGCAGCAATAACCTCAACCAAACGTTTCCTGTAGTTGCAGATCAGACCTGCACAACGATCTGGAGTCATTTTGGACCACTCCTCTTCACAAAACTGTTTCAGTGTAGCAATATTCTTGGGATGTCTGGTGTGAATCGCTCTCTTAAGGTCATGCCACAGCATTTCAATGGGGTTGAGGTCAGGACTCTGACTGGGCCACTCCAGAAGGCGTATTCTGTGCTGTTGCAGCCATTGTTTTGTTGAATGACTTGTATGCTTTGGGTCATTGTCCTGTTGCATCACCCATCCTCTGCGGAGCTTCAGTTGGCGGACAGATGGTCGTACGTTTTCCTGCAAAATGTCTTCATAAACTCTGGAATTCATTTTCCCATCAATGACAACAATCAATCCAGGCCCTGAGGCAGCAAAGCAGCCCCAAACCATGATGCTCCCTCCACCATGTTTCCCAATGGGGATGAGGTTTTGATGTTGGTGTGCTGGGCCTTTTTTTCTCCACACATAGTGTTGTGTGTTCTTCCCAAACAACTCAATCTTGGTTTCATCTGTCCACAGTATATTCTGCCAGTAGTGCTGTGGAACATCCAGGTGCTCTTTTGCAAACTTCAAACGTGCTGCAATCTTCTTTTTGGACAGCAATGGCTTCCTCCGTGGTGTCCTCCCATGTACTCCATTCTTGTTTCATGTTTTCCTTATTGTAGATGTGTCAACAAAAATGTTAGCATGTGCCAGAGATTTCAGTAGGTCTTTAGCTGACACTCTGGGATTCTTCTTTACCTCATGCAGCATTCTGCGCTGTGCTCTTGCAGTCATTTTTACAGGACGACCACGCCTAGGGAGAGTAGCAACAGTGCTAAACTTTCTCCACGGTAAGACAGACTGTCTACAAATGGACACATGAACATCAAGGCTCAAGGAGATACTTTTGTAACCCTTTCCAGCTTCATGCAAGTCAGCAATTCTTGATGGTAGGTCTTCTGAGAGATCTTTTCTGCGAGGCATGGTTCACATCAGACAGTGCTTCTTGAAACTAGTAAACCCAAAACAGGTGTCAGCAACACATCCAATATCATCACACTGATTGGAGTCAAGGTTGGCTCACTCCTGGCTCCAATTAGCTCTGGGAGAAGTCATGAAGCTAGGGCCTCACATACTTTTTCCTCCCTGCACTGTGAATGTTTACATGTTATGTGCAATTAAACCATGGCAACATCTAATGTTTGTGTAGTATTATGTTCAGCAGACTGTGTTCTTCTATTGTTGTGACTTAGATAACGTTCAGAGCACATTTTATGCCCAATTCATGCAAAACTCCACGTAATCCCAAGGGGTTCACATACTTTTTCTTGCAACTGTAACCTAGTTTGCTGGTTCAAAAATGTTGAAAATTGGTCATCACAGAGGACAAGGGGGCGTTCTTGACGTCTGGAGGAAAAGAAATGTAATCCCTAAACACGGAAAGGCTTCTTCACAGTGAGAGCTGTGAGAATGTGGAATAGACTCCCTCAAGAGTTGGTTGTGGCCAGCTCAGTGGATTGCTGTAGGAAAGTCCTGGATCCTTTCTTGGATACACAGAATATAACTGGATATAACATTTATAGGGAAAGTTGATCCAGGGAATATCCGATTGCCTCTCGGGGGATCAGGAAGGAATCTTTTTTCCCAGCAGGAGCAAATTGGATCGTGCTTTGCTCGTTTTTTTTTGCCTTCCTCTGGATCAACTGTGGGTGTAGGATTATCACTTTTTTTTTTTTCTATGATTGAACTGGATGGACTTTTGTCTTTTTTCAGCCAGACTAACCATGGAACTATGAAAAGTCATCAGTTTTACTATTTCACATGACTGTAGGGTTACATAAAGGAAAGAGGAGGAATCTTCCAGTTCTTTTGTGTAATCCATCGAAATTAAACTCTCACTCATGGTTATGGTATGGATGACCAATGGATCTTCCTAAGTAAATCTGTCTTTACTCCTTTATTATACAGGCAAAGGAAGGAGACCTCTCCGTAATAAACTGCCTCCTGGACGACCCGGCTTTCTCATCCAAGAAGTTTCAGAGACTGGAAACAAAAAAACTTTGAGTTTTTCATGGATATTTGTGAGTACAGCGGAACCCTGAAACCTCAGAACGGTGCCTCCGAACTGGCCGCGCCGGCACCCCAGCTCACACACACGCACTCCTTTATCGAAACGCACGTCTGATCGGGGAGCCGAGCGCGACGAAACATCCGCTAGGTGCCCTGGAAGAAACACTGTAATATTTGTACATAATGTAAGGAAAAACAGATTGTAAATAGATTGGATACCAGAATAGTGCCACAGGATGCCTACGACATTGCATGAGCAAGCCAGTATTATTATTATTATTATTTCTTAAAGTATTTTACTTTTGTGGTATGTACCGAGGTCTGCATCACTCAGAAACCCACCCAAAGAAAGGAACTCCTGCTTGAAGCCCACCTGAAGGAGGTTAGAGAAGGAAGCTGTTGTCCTGTTTGAGTTATGAAGGTTTTCGGGGTATTTTGGATGGCTGATGTCAAGCGTTGGGCACACATCTAAATGTCCCAAAGACAACCAATTCTGCATGTGGCTTTAAATGGGTCAAATTGTGGAAGGATCTGCCCCTAGAGACTCAATAAAATTCCAAAGTAGGCTTTGCTGTAGAGCTGGGGCAGGTTTGAGAAGTTTGCACTTCGCCGATGATCTGAGATGATCACGTAAATTAAAAAAAATGTTCACTCTACTATTTCAGGAACGAGCCAATACGTATTTTCTTTGGCAAGCACCAAAAAAGGTGAACGTTTTACGTGGAGTCAGTTGATTAAAACTGCAATTGCATATTTTTTTTTGTTATTGAATCTTGTAGCCCTATGGCAGTCTCAGATGATGATTGAGAAGTGAGACTGTCATGGCTAACCTTCCCGCAACCTAGCCTGTGCCATGGAAACAGACAATATGGAGGCAAACAGGTTGAGTCGGCCTTCCAAAATGCACCAAGACCTTCATGATTGGAAGAATCCAAGTACAGCACTTCCTTCTTACAATCCTCCTATACAGCACTATGATCACCACTAAATTAAAGGTGCACTTCAAAGAGCGTCCTTCTCCGGCTCAGCATGAAGATGGCGGCTTTTGGGTGATCAGGTGATAGCCAATGCCATTCCCCAGGAAGTGATGACGTTATTAGATGATGGCTTTGGCCCCGTTCTCACCTGTGCACTTTTCATTAGATGATGGCTTTGGCCCCGTTCTCACCTGTGCACTTTTCATCAGATGATGGCTTTGGCCCCGTTCTCACCTGTGCACTTTTCATCAGATGATGGCTTTGGCCCCGTTCTCACCTGTGCACTTTTCATTAGATGATGGCTTTGGCCCCGTTCTCACCTTTTGCACTTTTCATTAGATGATGGCTTTGGCCCCGTTCTCACCTTTTGCGCTTTTCATCAGATGATGGCTTTGGCCCCGTTCTCACCTTTTGCACTTTTCATCAGATGATGGCTTTGGCCCCGTTCTCACCTTTGCACTTTGGTGTTGATTTTAATACATGGCGAAGCACATTGACATTTCGATGCCCTGCAAGTTTGTAAAGTATTTTCTTTGCTCTGGAGATGTCATTACTAGCTCAATATATATATATATATATTTTTTTTTTAATTTAAAAAAAATATAATTTTTTTTAAATTTTAAAAAAAAGATATATATTTTTTTCCTTTTTATATTTTTTTTTCTTTCTATATATATATATATTATTTTTATTTTTTTCCTTTTTATTGGTTGAACTAGATGGGTGTGTGTCTTTTTTCAACCAGACTATGTAATGACCTCTTGCATCTATAGTAATTCTTTCAAAGATCTTTGGAGACGGTATAACCATACAGGTTATGGTGGGAGAGTACTAGAGCAGGGGTCTCTGCATGTTCTTAACAATGGGCCATTTTTACTGTCACTGGGCTGGACTGTGGCCAGTAGGAGTAGAACATGTTTTGGCATCCATGGGAGTGAACAATGCCCTATTTTTGGTATTAGAGAAACAGTGCCCCATCATTGGTGTCAGTGGGAGGAATAGTGTCCCATCATTGGTGTCAGTGGGAGGAATAGTGTCCCATCATTGGTGTCAGTGGGAGGAATAGTACCCCATCGTTGGTGTCAGTGGGAGGAATAGTGCCCCATCGTTGGGTGTCAGTGGGAGGAATAGTGCCCCATCGTTGGTGTCAGATGGAGGAATAGTGCCCCATCGTTGGTGTCAGTGGGAGGAATAGTGCCCCATCGTTGGTATCAGTGGGAGGAATAGTGCCCCATCATTGGTATCAGTGGGAGGAATAGTGCCCCATCGTTGGTGTCAGATGGAGGAATAGTGCCCCATCGTTGGTGTCAGTGGGGGGAATAGTGCCCCATCGTTGGTGTCAGTGGGAGGAATAGTGCCCCATCGTTGGTGTCAGTGGGAGGAATAGTGCCCCATCGTTGGTGTCAGTGGGAGGAATAGTGTCCCATCGTTGGTGTCAGTGGGAGGAATAGTGCCCCATCGTTGGTGTCAGTGGGAGGAATAGTGTCCCATCGTTGGTGTCAGTGGGAGGAATAGTGCCCCATCGTTGGTGTCAGTGGGAGGAATAGTGCCCCATCGTTGGTGTCATTGGGAGGAATAGTGCCCCATCGTTGGTGTCATTGGGAGGAATAGTGCCCCATCGTTGGTGTCAGTGGGAGGAATAGTGCCCCATCGTTGGTGTCAGTGGGAGGAATAGTGCCCCATCGTTGCTATCAGTGGGAGGAATTATGTCCCATCGTTAATGTGGTTCTAAAGATTCAAGGTTCATTCTATGCAGGAAGGTAAAATACCTTCTCTGTGTACCATACCTCCCAGCCCTAATACTCACCTAAGCCCCCTCTCGATCCAGCGATGTGTACTGGAGTCTCGGCTATCTGGGAACTTCCTCTTCTCATTGGCTGAGACAGAAGCTGGAGCAATTGGCTCCCACTGGTGTCAATCAAAGCCAGTGGGCCAATCAGAAGAGGGGGGGGTGGGGCCGAGCCACAGCTCCATGTGTAACTGGACACACGGAGCAGCGGGTGCCCCCATAGCAAGCTGCTTGCTGTGGGGGCACCTGACAGGAAGGAGGGGCTAGGAGAGCCTGCGGGAGACCTGAGAAGAGAAGGATTGAGGCTGCTCTGTGCAAAACCACTGCACACAGCAGATAAGTATAGACATGTTTGTTATCTTTTCTTAAATAAAAAAAAAAAACATTTAGAATCACTTTAATGTCAGTGGGAGTAGTAGTGCCCCAAAGGCTGGATAAATGCAACCAAAGGGCTGCATCTGGCCCCCAGTTTGGAGAGCACTGTACTAGAGGAACCCTCTAATTAAATCAGAGCATAGCACAATAAAGCCTTCTTAGAACAGAAGATATTCACATGTCTCATTCCATCACATATACCAAAAATAAACAGCTGTTTTCAGGCTTTTGGCCATCTTTAGGGTAGTTTATGGAACCCATGGCTTTTATGGAGGAGGGTTACAGACCCAATGAGACAGTATAGGCTAGTGATGATTTTGAAAAAATGCATAAAAACCATACAGACCTATCATGTGCTAAGGGTTATCCAGTGCTAAGCTTTAAACAGGGACTAGACCCTCCACACGGTTTCTTCCTTGCTGTTGAGGACGTAGATGCTCTGGGATTCTCTAAGGGTTATCCAGTGCTAAGCTATGAAGTGGACTACACCCTCCACACAGTTTCTTCCTCGCTATTGAGGACGTAGATGCTCTGGGATTCTCTAAGGGTTCTCCAGTGCTAAGCTATGAACAGGGACTACACCCACCACACGGTTTCCTCCTTGCTGTTGAGGACGTAGATGCTCTGGGATTCTCTAAGGGTTCTCCAGTGCTAAGCTATGAACAGGGACTAAACCCACCACATGGTTTCTTCCTCACTGTTGAGGATATAGACCAGGGATGGGCAAACTTTTTGACTTGAGGGCCGCAATGGGTTCATATATTGGACCCGGGGGCCGGACCAAGAGTAGATGAATGATGTGTATGTGTCATCCATAGTAAGTATAGTAATATTCCCCCATAGTAATTCATCCCCCAAATAGTAATTCATCCCCCATAGTAATTCATCCCCCATATAGTAATCCATCCCCCATATAGTAATTCATCCCCCATAGTAATTCATCCCCCCTATAGTAATTCATCCCCCATATAGTAATTCATCCCCCACAAGGTAATTCATCCCCCACATAGTAATTCATCCCCCATATAGTAATTCATCCCCCATAGTAATTCATCCCCCATAGTAATTCATCCCCCATATTAATTCATCCCCCACATAGTAATTCATCCCCCATATAGTAATTCATCCCCCATATAGTAATTCATCCCCCATATAGTAATTCATCCCCCATAGTAATTCATCCCCCATAGTAATTTATCCCCCATAGTAATTCATCCCCCATATAGTAATTCATCCCCCATAGTAATTCATGCCCCATATAGTCATTCATCCCCCATATAGTAATTCATCCCCCATATAGTCATTCATCCCCCATATAGTAATTCATCCCCCATATAGTAATTCATCCCCCATATAGTAATTCATCCCCCCTATAGTAATTCATTCCCCATATTAATTCATCCCCCATAGTAATTCATCCCCCATATAGTAATTCATCCCCCCTATAGTAATTCATTCCCCATATTAATTCATCCCCCATATTAAGTCTCCAAGTCCCCCATATTGTGTCAATTCACTTACCTTTACTCCGCGCGTTCCTCTCGCCGTGTTCCCGCTTCGTTCCGGTGTAGCATGAAAACCTGTCTCCTATGAGGATCTGTCCCCCTCGACGTATCTGCGCATGTGCCAGTTTCAGGCATTAGCAGCCGATCGGCGATCTCCGGCACATGCGCAGATACGTCGAGCGGGACAGATCCTCATTGGAGACAGATTTTCATGCTAGCTCCGCGGGCCGGATTAAAAGGTCCGCCGGGCCGTAGTTTTTGCCCATTGCTGACATAGATGCTCTGGGATTCTCTAAGGGTTCTCCAGTGCTAAGCTATGAAGTGGACTAGACCCTCCACACGGTTTCCTCCTTGCTGTTGAGGATGTAGATGCTCTGGGATTCTCTAAGGGTTCTCCAGTGCTAAGATATGAACAGGGACTACACCCTCCACACAGTTTCTTCCTCTCTATTGAGGACGTAGATGCTCT